ACAGATCCAGCACTAAAATGGTGGTATCTGTATCAGCGAATACCAACAAATAGGGCACCGATAACATTTTGAGAGCCAAAAGTTCATTCAACTATTGTCACCCATTCCAGGTAGGCAATAAAAGTTCTATTGGATTCACTTTGTATTAGCCTTTTTCCTGCTTTACAAAGGTAGGCAGCAGCTTGACAAAGCCATGATGGCAATTATTTTACATCCACGTAGTATGCAGTACTTCATATATACACACACACACACATCATTTTCAAGGCTCAAGGCCCAGATCTCCAGAATGACCAAGGACAAGTCATGATGGTTGATACTTCGGAACCAACTTGCTGCAAAACACACTGTTTTTCTCTGAGTTTCAGAACTTACAGAGCCAGTGTTCTGTCAGATTAGCATACCCGTCAGACCTGCATAGCTGTAGTCAGTACCCAATACGTCAGATTTGCATTTATCCCTTAAGTTTTGTACTAAAAAAAAAATGCTTTAAACTAACCCGACAGGCGTGCATCCCTTTAGTCACGTACAAAAAAGAAATTTAAGGTCAGATTGCCATACACCCGTTGAAGTGGTTTAAAGTGTATTATTCGTACAAAACTAAATGGATAAGTTAGAGGAATAAGCAAAAGAGATAAACGTGTATTGACTATGGGTATGCTGGTCTGACCAGGTATGCTCATCTGACAGTACACCAGACTGGAGGTGAAAGCCTGCTAAGGGAGCCTTTCCCTTGATGTGAGCCATGTGGGACAAAGGAAACCTCCTTAGCTGTGAGCCTGCCGTGCTAAGCTTCTAACTGCTGAAGGAAACTCAAACATTCCAAAACGGACATGGGCAGAAGTATAAGGTCTGGCAAAGATAGGGACAGTTTGTAGTTACTGTAAACAATATGTCTTTTGATGATTTTGATCTCTTCAGCTGTTTTCTTTATAAGCCAAAACAAGCTTTATTTCACTAACACTGCTAAAACATGTCCATGTGTTTTCTCATATGCTCATAACATTTCAATTATCAAATTATGACCATAGGTCATTTAATGACATCCTCATTGTTAGGTTAAAAAATGTAGGTTCGTAAAAGAGAGACTGAATCCACACAGAAAGGGATTTTCAACAGCTTCTGCAGAAGGGGAAAGAGCCAAACCCAACTTTCAAACTCTCTCTCCTGGACCCCTTTCCTTCTGCAGTGCCTTTTATTAACAGAACATAACACAGAGGGTGGGTTACAAAACAGTATTCTTCTGACAGGACAATTGATCAGGTTATAAGACAGGATGCTCCACTGATTGAATCACAAGACAGAGCTCTCCTCTTGACTGAATAACAAGTGTTGAATTATAAGACAGAGTGAAGAATCTCATTTCTCAATGTTTCATATGTACACATTAATTTTTATAATCATCATTGAATAAACCTAACACTCATGTCTATTTTCTGCTAGCTATTTCAAAGAGGGTAAATAATAATTTTAACTAAAAGTTATTGGTTCCTGCTTCAGCAAATCATTTCATAAAACCTTAATTGACCAAAGAATGTTTTAATCAGCTCATGGATTTACATTGTGAATGGTTGGAAAACATTCCAATAGTTCTAAATTAGTAAAAAGCTAACTTGATTACATCTCAAATTCAAAATTTGGTTCTCAAACACAAAATCCAAGTTGCACTATGATATGGTTTTAAACCATATTTTCCCTTCCTTTTTGTACATAATAGCTTAGTTGAATTGAGTTTCAGTAGTTTTTAGTCAAGAGTTGTTTACTGAAATATGTTTAAATTGGAGCTGAATGATTTTTGTTAATAAACTCTTATATTTTGAACAGGAGTTGTGGTGAATTTATTCCATGTATGTGCAGAATTATCTGTTTGAACATAATTTGAGATCAATACACTTTTATTTGCTGGTCTTACACACAGACAGTAGGGCATACCGGTATGTTCATTAACAATATTTGACAGTCTGAATAATATCTGTTTAAATAAGATATTTATTAACCATAACACTAGCGGGGTGGGCAATAAATGTATTAAAGTAGCACAACAACAACAATTAAACACTCTTTATTTATTCTGAAGGACCAGAAAAGATTTACCTTCTTGTTTGCATTAAATTAATATCTATAATTGTGATCATCATCCAAATGTTAATATTTGCAAAAAACAAAAAATCTCTAAACATTTAATGTTGAGTTTGAAAAAAAAAATGTAAGAAACTTACCGGTATTAGGATATTAAAAACACCATAATAGTGAAAAGCATAATAACACATGTTAAAACAAAGGTTTCAGATACATGCACTTTGTACATAAAAAAAAAACAAAAACAAAAAAACAACCAATAAAATAAGACATTTTTAAAATTATTTAATATCTCTCTTGAAATCAAATATTTTTTTGTGCTTTTTCACACT